AACACATGACGGTGCCCGCATTGTCGCCTGGGGCGGGATAAGTCCGTTTACATCGTGGGCAGAAGGGAGGGGGGGGGAGGAACAAACACGGAACACAGTGCCGACAGTGCCGACGACAAGACTCCGACATCCGCGGAACTCGAAGTGCGGTCCGAGGCGCGCTAAGTCGGCTTCGGAGGGCGGCAGCCTCTGCGCGAGCTAACGGTGTCACCGAAACGGTAGGATCTGCGCTCGAGGGTGAATCGCGCCAGCTAGCCAGCCAGGGGAGCAGCTCTGTCCCGCAACAGCGCCGCCGGCAAATGAGACCACGGACGTGGACGAGAATGGTCTTGTTTGCTGCTCCGCCAGCGGGGACGTGTTGATTCCCTGCAGCCTGGGACTAACACAGGGCGCCGCGCCCAACACCACTCGGCCTTTCTCTTGGGGTTGTCTTGCTACCTTAGTGCAATCACATTGCACATGTTCACAATTAATATCAGGAAGCTTTACTTAGCCATGGCCAAACAAACAGGCAGCGTGTGGTTTCTTATTCAGTTGGAAGCTGCAGTCGCCTCCCAAAATTTGAAAAGAACATCGGTCAAATTCAGGGAGGGCCCAGTTTTCTGTAGTTTCGGGGCAAGTTTAGCCATTTTCCCTTCGTCCCCCAACTTCCAAGATCCAACAAATGGTAGGCACGCATAGCTGATGCGCCTTCCCACCGACGTCCATGGTCCCCCGGCCGTCTGCATTGGCGCACAACGTATCCCACGCGGTGTTGGAACGTCTCCGACCATTCCGAGTAACTGACTCGAGGCCGTAAAAATTCAAGTCTCCGATTTGCTTGAGGGTCTCCGCCTTCTGACAGGTGATTGGTTCACAGTGCAAATGTTCTGCTCGACTCGCGCTCTGAACACCCCTACATATATCGCGTCAGTGCCAAACCGCTTCACGTTATCTGCCTGGAATGGAGCGAGAGACAGCCCTCATCTGATGTCGGCCTTACCAGATCGAGCGTTGGACCAAATACCCTCAGTACGTGGGCGGCCAGCGCCGGCTGCCTCTGACCTTGCCAGATCGAGCATTGTACCCACATAGCCTCCGTACGTGGGCGGCTAGCGCCGGCTGCCTCTGACCTCGCCAGATCGAGCATTGGACCCACATAGCCTCCGTACGTGGGCGGCCAGCGCCGGCTGCCTCTGACCAGCTCGGCGACCGTCACAGGTCGCGCCGATGTTTCGGTTAACGGACTTTGCAGGGGTTCGACAGCCGTTTAGCAGATTTGACTGCACGAGTTCGTTGTGGCTTTTTTGGCAGCGTATGTGTGGCGACACACTGGCATCAACGCTCAAATAGACTGTAAACCCAGGGGCGTTATCACATATTAAAGGTTTGGCACAGGGGTTCCGTCTGCTATGACGTGTTGAGGACGAATCACACAAATAGCCTGATATCCCTGAAGGTCACTGAACTCTTGATCCAGTGACTACACTAGCGACCAGACCCGTGGCGCTAGACCCGCTTTCTGGCGCACCCCGGTGATACATCAGCATCTTACACCCTATACAGTGTTACACTGTATTGTCCAATGCCATGAAACTACGGTGAGCCATCTGTCTAACTGAATTTTTCAGTGAGCGCAGGGGCGAAAAGTGGAGAGTACACATCAATGTCTATAGCCCTGCAACGGTGCACACTACTGGAAATATACCTGCCTGTCAAGGAGGAAACAGGCAATACATAGTAGCCTTTTTAAAGAGCACGTAATTTGCCGGGATGGCCATCGGGTCAGAGACCTCGCTGCGCTCAGTGTGTTCTGCGTAGAGCCAGTTTGACAGAAAGGCTCACTAACAGACTTGGATGTTCCGTGTCATGTCGTACAATGACCTCCATATGCCAGCTTGGCCAGGTCTGCACCTGGGGTAACAGTGACTGACCCGGGTCCATCGTCCCCACACAGACCTCCACCGTAACGGCCAAAACACGTCGCAATTACTTCCAAAGTCTAACAACCACCCATACTCCATCATGGGCACATTTTTGCTTTGTTGCCGGTGTTTTTTGGTTCCTGCAGGGCCGCGGCCGATATGGCGCCGTAGTCTGGGAAGCGTCATTCCGCGGCGTCGGATTCATCGCCGCACGATGCTCGGCTGATGGGATAACATGGCGCGACTGATGCGCACCTGGCTTCAGCCGCGTGACCTGACACTTCACGTCACGTGTCACACCCACTGATGAGGTATTATCGATAGTGAGGATGAGTTATTATCGATACTGAGTTCGGTGTTCCCGGGGCTACACAGCACCACGCTCCCCACTGCCGTAACACAATCATCGCCGCACACAGAAAAAACGCCCGCCTTCGCTGCTCTCGCCCGTTGACCTCGTCTGACCTTTCAAAGCTTTCTCGCACCGGTCTGCAACACCACCCCGCTGCAGTTTTACGCGAGCTATCTGAAACTCCTCCTCGTTTGGAACTAGGACGTTGCGTGCTCGAGATGGCAGGTACCTGTGTCAAACCGTGTCATTGCCCCGCCTGGTGGGGTCAAGTACTTTTCAACAGCAATCAGCAGCCGGATAGCCATGCAAGTCATCGAACTCTTGCAGTGGGAACGTGACCGCAGCTCAGCGAATATGAATCAAATGATATCAACGGGATGGTAAAAAGGCACGTAGGCATGATGAGCTGAAGCGAACATACTCGTCATCAACGGACATCATCCGGCTCGGCAGGCTGCAAAACAGCAGAGCACGACTCTGGGGAGTCCCACGATGTCAAAGGTCAGCTGGCAGCGGGCCAGGACATCGCTTAGTAATGAGGTGACGGACCGACCATAAATGCCGTCCAGTCACGTTACATCCCCCGGGACACCGGCCTGTCCATCCGCGGGGGACACGTCACCCTGCTTCGGAACATGCCCGTCTGACATCAAGTGTCAAGCTGGACTTGATCAGGCACTAAGCTTGGTAACAACAGTTTCTGCGCCGCGAACCTATTTGTGCGAATAATTCCGGGATTTACTAGAGTGAGCCGCTTTACTGCTCGCAACGCTGCGTATGATTGCTAAGAAATGCGTAACTTGGTAAGGCGAGCTCGTCCTTTCCAGACACGATTGACACTATCCGCTGCACACAATAACACGCGACACATGGGGGCTGGAAGTGCTACACTGCAGCAACACACGTCACAATTCGCCCAGCCAGCTGCCTGAGCGGGCCGAACGGTGGCACTCCCCTATACCCGTCTACACCACAATTCCATTACAGGGCCAAGCGCGTCCCATGTCCCAAGGGATGAGCCGATCGAGAACAGCCCGCAACCAGCACGGCTACAGAAATCGTACGAGCGCCGCCAATCTGATGGCTTGTTTGCCGATAATTGTCATGATCGGTCCCGGGGGAAACAGATGCGTTTTAAGTGCATTTATGCTGCGCGTTCCATATAGCTTCCATATTTTGTTGAGTGCATGCACGTACCCAGTTCAGCTTCATACGTGTGCGAACCTCGGAAAAACGTCCCCAATAGGCACCGCAATGCCAGCTCGACCGTTCGTTTTCCCTTCTGCCTGCCCGCCGGCTCAGGATGCTGAGAACTCTGTGCCGTAAACTGCTCGGAGGTGCGGCCCACCCCCGCTGGCAGCCGGCCCACACACCTCGCCAAATGGGCACACAAACTTCCGGCCCCACTTAAGAGGCGTCCCAAAAGCAGAGGCAGACGGCTGGTGGCGTTCAAAGTAGAGATGGAGCAGCTGCCGTGTGCTCTCGCACGGCAATAATCAGCTGTTGACAGCGCCACGATGCTGCGTTATTTGACCAACGCATCGCTTGCTGAAGCGAGCTAAGCAAGCAACTTTCAGACATGAGCAATATCACTGTCGGCAAGCACACTTCCAAACTGGGATCAGGATACGAGGGAAGAGCGACTAACCTAGACAATGGACGCAAGCGAGGACTGGTCGCCCTGTCTCGTCAGACAAACGCCGCACCAGCTGACGCCCGCGGCGCAGACTTAACGGCATCGTGGCCTGTAAATGATCCCTCAGTCCGATGGCCCACCCCGAGGCCGCGGTCTCGTCCTGGCCCAACGGACAGTCTACCCCCTCATCAATGGGTGGATATCACAGTTGGAGCCCAGAGTTCCACAGCGGCCCGCCGAATGCATGCGTACTTGGGCGAGTGTTCAAGACAGCGAGCGTCAGTGACGTCATATGTCACGGAAACAGGGGGGAGGGGCTCATTAGCTCGGACTTCAAAGACGCGGAAGAATGGTTGGGTGTGCAAGCATGACTGGTCACCTATGCAGTTCGCTTAACGATAATCGATCGAGACTTCATTTGCGGGCCACATTTAAGACCGGGCTTCATCTGAACGTGACACTATGTTCAAGATCGTCCCGCCAGAAGCGTCCCGAAAGAAAATACAGAAGAAACACTTGCAGCCAATTTACCAGAGGACGACCGCAACCAGATGTGTTTTAATTCACCGTGTATGAGCTGGGACCAGAAAAAAATAGCTTCGATCCAATGTGTTGCTTTCCCATCATTGGGAATAAATGATTACTGATGGAGAAGTATTGCACATAAGAGGTCGGAGATCATGCATAAAGCACTGCTTAGCGTGGATGTTGGTCTCAGAAATTCATACAATCCTACACCCGACATAACTTTAAAAACTGCTATGGTGTCCACGCACATAACATTCACGTGAAACTGAACATTTTTTGTTGTTGAAAACTTGCCACCTGGGAGTGATAAAATTATCAGTTGATACAGGCTGGGTGGTACATACCAATCGGCTTTATTATAGGGCTACATTCATTGAACTGGCCTGAAGATGGATAGCCTTGTTTGTGCAGGCATTTGTTTCACGCCACACCTTCAATGTGCAGATGTTTCCCAGTTACACTTCTCAAAGCTGTAATAATTGTGAGCTGCAGATACCAAAAGGTAAGCAACACAGTTGGGATCATGCCAACAGAGAGGAAAATACAAATCAGACCAGAGCGGCAGATAAAGGGTACTCACAGAGGCGCCCGAAGCTTGAGCTGATGCGATGCTTGATCTTCTGGACTTTGCTCATCTGGTTGGATTTCTTCTCGCGCATCACCACGCCTGGAGCGAGAGAGCCCGACGTGACAGATCTCCCTGCTAGCCGATCTCCACACAACACCACTGCTACTCTGAGCGAGAGAGCCCGACGTGACAGATCTCCCTGCTAGCCGATCTCCGACCGTGACAGATCTCCCCTGCTAGCCGATCTCCTCACAACACCACTGTACTCTGAGCGAGAGAGCCCGACCGTGACAGATCTCCCTGCTAGCCGATCTCCCACACAACACCACTGCTACTCTGAGCGAGGAGAGCCCGAGCCGACCGTGACAGATCTCCCTGCTAGCCGATCTCCACACAACACCACTGCTACTCTGAGCGGGAGAGCCCGACCGTGACAGATCTCCCTGCTAGCCGATCTCCACACAACACCACTGCTACTCTGAGCGAGAGAGCCCGACCGTGACAGATCTCCCTGCTAGCCGATCTCCACACAACACCACTGCTACTCTGAGCGGGAGAGCCCGACCGTGACAGATCTCCCTGCTAGCCAATCTCCACACAACACCACTGCCACTCTGAGCGGGAGAGCCCGACCGTGACAGATCTCCCTGCTAGCTGATCTCCACACAACACCACTGCTGCTCTGAGCGAGAGAGCCCGACCGTGACAGATCTCCCTGCACAGACCGTGACAGATCTCCCTGCTAGCTGATCTCCCTCTCCACACAACACCACTGCTACTCTGATTCGGGCAGTGAGAACAGTTCTACAGGCAAGCTATTGGCTATGTCTTACGCAGTACACTGTGGCATCCCACAAAGGTGCAATGCGTCAAAACCAGCATTCACTTATCACTGTAATCAAAAATGGGCTTTGCCGGCAAACAAAACATTTCATGATGTAAGTTGGCTCTGCAGTCAGAAGTTGTGAAGGCCTGTATCTTAGACCTGAGGACAGTTATGAGATCCAATACAACTTAAGTTCTTACCTTCCCTTGACCACCCAGCTGATGCATTTGAGCTGTATGTGTTGTTCATTTCAAGTCGATTGCCCTATCAATTTTAAATAAGACAACACCGGATGTCATTTACTCATGTTGAAGACTTGCTGAAAACATCAGGAATAAATTAACACATACATGGTTAGTTCATAAGGACAACATTATGATGAATAGAATTATGAACTGTTGAAGAAGTGGATGAAAATGTCATAAAGCATGCCATACTGCAAGCTGTAGCAAATTTGCAATCACAATCATCTTTGGAAGTATTTTTGTATTTATTTACAGTACAGTTACAGCTACAGCATGAACAGTTTCTAAGTGCATTTGTTATATGGCCAGTGTGCACATAATAAGGCATATTGTAACTGCAGTACTAATTACAAACATGCTTGTACCAATAAGTGTTGTGCAGAAAACATTACAAGGCATGAGCAAGAGCACCCCTCCATGCAGTACATGGAGTGGGGAGCAAAGGCCATATCTCTCACATCCAGGGTTTTACTATGTTTGCCACTTTTGGTACCTCTCAAAGTAAATTGGGTTCAACAGAAGACATCAAGACAGACTTAGAAAGGGTTGAGGCATATGATATAACCTAAGGCCAAGATCAGAGTAACAAACTTGCCACCAATGAGCTTCAGGAATGTTTGTCATTAAATGTACAAGCATGCAGACTGAGATAACATCACCATGACAGGTGGGGATATCCTTACTTATCATCCCACCCTAGTAGAAATTTAATTGAGAATCAAGCACAAACCTCTAGGATGATCCAAGCTATATTCCTTAGGTAAGGAATATTCATGCAGCATGATTGACATATACAATATATGCTGCTTTCATCAAAGGATAAGGGCTGTTAACAGCACTGGCAGAGCAGTCTTATTAAAAGAATAAAAAACATTAAATTTCAATTGTAAACATGAGCCACAAAGGACAAAAAATCAGGAAAAAGCAGGAAAGCATGGAAATGTCACTCATACTTAATCTCCAAACTATCAAACTTCAAACTAAAACATTCCTTACTAATCCAAAAACTGAACAAGTTGATGCATGCTTACTGAATCCTTTCATGGCAATACCACATCAATTGCTGGACAGCTTATAGCTTTTGGTACAAAGCACCACAAGCTCTTTACATCACTACTGTAAGTCGACAGTCACTGATGCAAACCAACTGAAATGCAAATCATCCTAGAAATTCAAATTTTCAGAGGATGCGCCAGCCACAAAAAAGGCAGGATCAAAGTCTACATTAACCAAATTTCCCAATCACTGACGGGATAGCACAACTGCTCAATTTCCCCAAACTAGACCCGATGATGATTTGATGAGTTGAGCTTTCAGGTGCACTGACTACAATGGTCTTATGGCACCTATTCTGACAATACCTCATTTGATTTTTCTGTGAATGAAGATCCTGTTCTTTGGTTCATGCTTTGGTCAAGCTTTTCTGCTTTGGAAAAACTTATCAGAGCTGTCTGCCAGGTCATATTGAGCACAAGGTAAGGATTCTTTTCAAAATATCTTGGTTACCTTCGGAATAACTTTCATGTCTGATGTGCCTGTACCATAGTCTGGTTGCACCACGAACAACACGTTTCCTTCGTCCTTCTCGGTATAGCTCAAGTTTATTGAGCATGGGAGATTGTTAGTTCACGGTAAAAAAGTTGGACAGAAGGCACAAAAGTGGAATCAGCCCGGAACAAATGTTTTGGTCAAGGATTAAGCCTGACAGGCGTCGGTCAAAAATCACTTACAGAAAGGACAGGTTCCTGAGACAGAAAACTGAACTGAGCACAAACTCATCGCAAAAAGGTTGCAAACATCCTAACCCATATTGAGAGGCACGCAAGCACGCACCACACACCACCACGCGCGACCCCCTCACGCTCTCTGCCGCCTTCTCTGTTTTGTCTTCTGCGGCGCGAGCCGCGATGGCGCAGCGTCAGCTGATCTGGTCCAGGGAAGACACTGAAATGCTGCCATGCTACCACGCACGCGCTGCACAAGAAGCACAGCGTCCTTTAGCCTTGGAAATGCAGCTCACGGAAGCAAATATTAAGGTGTTTTTGAGTTGGGTGGCCACGTTCCGAGTGTAGCCTGTCAGTTGTAAATTGTCATTATATAATCACAACCATGACCATCACCATGTTTTACGTCCTTCGCACACATGTTTTTTTTTGGGGGGGGGGACCGCACTTACATTTGCTACTATATAGGTAGGTAATAATTGAAGGCATACAGCATCAGATGCACAACACAATGCAATTCAGCGGAAAATGCCCCTCACCATATTTCTGCCTTAGCACGATTCTTGGCATAAAATCCCGGCACGAGGCTAGAGCCTCGTACTTCTTCCGGCGCTTCGTACCACTCAACAATTGCAATAGCATATGGATGGACACCATCGGTGTAGTTTCCTATTCAGTTAGAGACTTCAGCCCGCAACTTAGGCTCCATCGCCTCCTCCAACTGAGAGAGAAGAAAGGGCAAAATCTGGGAGAAACACGTTTGTTGGTGAATTTTGGTGATACGCTTCACAACTTGCCCTGGTCCATCCCCAAACTCGCTACGAAACCACGCCCCTGAGGAGCACGTGCGGAAAAGCGGATAATTCTGGATGCCTTCGAATGATGCAGGACCTCAGCCAACAATGTCCGTGGCGGTCGAGCGTCCGCACCGAGCACGGTTTGTGGCAGGGACCGGGCTGCGGCTCGCGGCCCGCAATAGCGTCTGCGGCACTAAATCCCTTGGGCCAGACTCCAAGCGCGTGGATTTTTTCATGCGGTGTCCGCCGGCCTGTTTCGGGAAAAACGTTGCTGGGCTGGCAAACGCATCCTGCTCCGGCACAGTAGGAACCAGCACTGAGTGCGGCGCCGTCGTGGTTTGCGCCAGGCGGAGGGACGAGCTCCTCCGTGGCACCGTTCGGTCGTTCGCTGTGTCAAATTAGCCGATCCACGCGTGGCTCACGCAGTTTTTCGCGTGCAGGTCAGCCCCAATGCGGCAGTGTTCGCTCCTCGTTTCACATGGGACGAAACAAGGAGATAATACAGAGTCCACGCAATACATTTATTCGCTCAGCACCAAAACCTTTTGGTGTACGATTGCATAAACTCAATAACAGACACGTGTATCTCACAGCCACACATGATAAACGTCGTATTACACGGCAGAAATTCCCTGTGCTTTAATTTACGCTGAATATCGTAGCTCATTCACGATGCTGGCAATAATTCAGTGTCATCAAGCAACTATAATCGTCACTATCGATGACGTCGTTGAATAAGCTGGCTGACATTCAGTGTAGGCACGCAAGCAGAAGTCTGTCGGTGACATTTTGGGGACAATACAGCTTTGGAAACATAACCTCTCGGCTGTTATCATCAACAATGTACCCTTTTTGTGGCAAAACACAATTTCATCCGGATGTGTCAATCTATAATTCATTTGTAAGCGTCCTGCCCTCCCCCCCCCCCCCCAAATGTTGAGGTACCCCACACCGGCTTAGCCCTCCAATATTTGTCACTGAAGTAATGTAAAAGACGTAGGAAAGGGCGGACTATCAGGCGAGGCAGTTCTTCTCCGAGCATTACGTGCTAACCATGATTACTGTTTTACTCAAATTAAGGACTATTTGATACAAGATAAAACAACTAGAACACAAAAATCGCCGTCCTTTAGAACAAGGTGGGCTAAACCCGTTATCACACATAATTTTGTGGAAAGGCTATTGGTCGTTGGCCCCTCGGCTCGGAGCGCTCGTCACCTAGAAAAAATAACGCCCTGACTTAGTTGGTTTTGACATAGGCTCATGTTGATGTGTAATATATCACTCTTACGTGTAAGACAGCATGCAACGTTCAACCGTACTCAACCAGAGCCCTTAAGTGCTGCATCCTATAAACGATACCTTTGACGCATAGCATTCGACTTCAAAAGATTCGTTTAATGCGCATTACGAAAAGAGCGCTTTGACAATCATCGTTTAAATTAAGACGATTTGGGCAAACTAGCAACTGACTATAGAATACTTCGGCACTTATCATTCATCTTAAGAGCATTTCAACAAACTAGCTTTCGACTGAATAAGATATCGTTCAACTGGCGTTCACTTAAGGAGTATGTAAACTCATAAACATTTCTTACATTTGACACGTTGGCGCAGAGACATGTTCACGACATGCCATTCCATTTTTGTTGTTTCGCTTCTGGCAACGAGCACAAAAAGACACGCAACCGAATTAGTATTCGGCTGAAGGCATTTTGCAAAGCGACCTTCGGCTAAATGCATTTCGGTTATTTGTGCCTATATCCATGTCAATATATGGAGGGAGCGTATGGCTGAGGCGAAGTGAGGAAGAAGACCGTATTTCTCGCTGTAAGGCAAGAGTTTAGTTTTCTACATATGTTTGAGGGGAGTGGGAAGACCAGGACTTAGCCAAGCAAATTAAACTGTCCTCGCATTCGAGTTTTTTGCCGACTGGGGGTCAGGCGGAAGAAATGAAAATCATTTACACTTTTAAATGCACCGATTTTGGGATGACGTTGGTGAAGGTCATGTTATGGTTACCTATGGTTATGTCGGAAATATGAACGCAATTCAGTAAGTCATCAGTGTGGTCTTTTTCAAAGATGAAGCTCTCCTGCTTGCTGTTCTGGCATCGCATGATATCTCTTGTGACCTGACATACTGTTTTTTTCAACGTTCATTTTGCGTTAAAAATGTGACGTATCACACATGTGGTTGCGTTCTTATCAATACGTTGATTTCATCCGAAAAAGCAATGTATTTGTCGTGTAAATTATTGAAAAACACACAGGTAACCTCCAAGGATTGAACTTTATTTTTCAACTGAATTCGGGGGGGGGGGGGTAGGGTGGGATGGGGGGGGGGGGGTTAAGAGGTGAAATCAAAAACCTTACTCATCCTATTTCCCAGACATATTCTCGGCCACTTTTTCTGTGGTCATAACTTCGGGCCCTATGCGTTATTGGCTTGTTTTACATTGTTGCTATCTAAGATATTCCAAGTAAAAGACATCTAAGTGTGAGTGGAATTTCAAGGTATGTGTCTTTCTATTTGCTAGTATCATGTTGGCATGTTCAGAATAAAATACATACCTGTGTTAAAAACTTCCGGATGAGTCCCACACTAGACGCATACACCTTTGACGCTGACTGGGGTTACTTGAAGCGCCCATAGTTTTGTACAGTGTTTCGGCAATGGGACAATATGTAGGGCAGAAGATCGGTGTTTTTGTCGTAGCAATATTCCTCCAGAAATTCACCATAGCTTCCGAATATATGATATGTGATAGTTTCTGCCATCTTGTTTTGGTTCAGAGGCAGATCATTGACTGGAGAAAAAACACCTTCAATTCAACCATATCACCTCAATGGTACAATGGTCTGCACCATTTGCAACGGCAAATAGTACAGATTTGAGGCCCATTGCAGGAAGCTGCGGGAGGCCACCGATTTTGGGTAGCTGTTGGACTTCTCCCGGCAGTGCCGCCTTTGGCGCTAAAGAAGATAATTCAAGTGGTGTGATGACAATGGTCCAGGAATTTAAAAGTATGATGACTTTGTCTTTCTGCTTTTAATCGAACAATGCCGTTCAGAGAGGGTGGATTCAGATTGGAGGAGGGGGAGTCCTTGGGGTCGTGCCTTCCCTTCCCGTTGGACCACTCACGAAGTGCCTCGAAGGGGCACAAATGTCTGGTGATAAAGGAGCACCAATTACTCCACTTTGGAACCACCTTGCCTGTGCTTTCAAGAAACACTATAAATGATCCCAAATGATAGTTTTCTCGAGGCACCAAATTTCAAGGGCGTCACGATGTCGGTGCCGTGTGCCTTTTACGAAATACTGAATCGGCTCATTCGGCGAAGGAGCATCAAAACCCTTGTTTCGGAGCACAATAATCTTTATTTCCAAGAGGTACCTGACGCCAAAGGGCACCACAAAAGGGCCCAGCCCTTCATTCTCAAGTGGCACCAGCCTCCAGAATCACAACGATGCTGTGCCTGTCACCCTGACGACATTCTGGATCGGCTCGTTCTTCGCCGTTCGACGAGTGGGCATACAAACTTTATTTCGAGGCATCATAGCCTTTATTTTCAAGAGGCACCGAAATCCAGAGGCATCAAGAAGGGACATCATTTTAAAGGGACAACAAAGTTCGGGGAAGCCACAATTCCAGAACCGCTCTACTAACGAAATTCTTTATCGGCCCATTTGACATGGGTGCTGCAAAGTCCTCATTTCGGCACCATACCATTTATTTTCCAGAGTCATGAAGTCCAAGGGGGTTATTCAAAGGGCCTCGAAACAATCACTTTCAAGGGCATCACAACAGTCTTGCCTTCTACCCCGACAAAATCCTGGGTCGGCTTCTTTGAGGAAAAGACGCCAAAGGCCTTCATTTCACGGTCTCCTTAAGACCTTTTTTTCAAAAAACACCCAATTCCAGGAGGATTCCAGCAGAATTCAAACGGTCTCAAAAACGCTCGTTTTTAAGAGACAACAAATTCCAGTGACACCGCAGCGGAGTCTTTTTTAAGAGGAAATCACTGGGTGAGGGTATGTGAACCGGTCGAATTGCGAGCAACAAGAAAGTAAAATATGTGTGTTTTGCCGACTTTGTTGTCATGTTGACAGTTCCACACATCTTTCATTCTCCACTTCGTTCTTTTCCTAGGTAGTTAAAACCAAGTGACCTTGGTTAGAACCAAGCTTAGACCACGGGCTGTAGAATGAGGTCGGCTATAATACGAAAGTGCGCATACTGACTCGATGTTGACTTCAGGTTTTTATTTATACAGGGATAAAACAGAGAAACAAAGAGACGGACGTGCGTTTTCGCTG